GCTATAAAAAGAATACTATACCGATTTAACTATTTTTAAGAATATGCGAAATCGCGAAGTTGTACTCGCGTTCACATTTTATTTCCAAGAAATACAAGTTTAGTCACAAATTTCATTGAGAATCAGTAGGTATGCGCTGTTTAATCGTACAAGTCAGTCGCATATGTATATCAAATTTATTTTTGTGTATACATACAAATACGCGTGCGTATTATATCGTTGTACGCGCGTATACATATATCGTATTACGCGAAAATAATTCATATTCATCATTGAATCTGGTAACACCAACTACAATAACAACGACAACATCTTACGTTATTTTCTATTTTTTTTGCATCATTCTCTTGTTTCATCGACACTACGTTCCATATAACTGCTTTCGCATTTGCAGTCAAGGAAAGGGCACATTTGGTGTAACACGGAGTTTCATCGCAACTAGAAGCGGTCTGTTTCGTTGGCACGAGCATCAACAAAACGAAGAAACCATCGATGAATCGTAAATGTCAAATATGCTGCTTATTATCATTTCATTTTTTCTTTATTATTTATTAATTAATATAAAGAAGATGTAGAAAACGTTTGGTTTAACACGTTCGCTGCCATGGGCGCAGCATGTGCGGTTCGGAATCTGGTGTCTTGCGACGCGTATGTGTGTGCATACCTGACTCAGCTCCGAATCAATGCCACGTTACATACATACCCCTTTTCGATTTTCGGGTGGCAGCGAACGTGTAACCACCTCAATATCATTTGTTAACATCATTGATTAATTTCCGATTGGTACAAACGTTTCGTCTTAACGCGTAGAAAAGAACATTCTGACATATATACGGATCGAAAAAAAGAAAGGAAGATTTCAAATGTGAATCTTGTCATATGTCATAGACCATTTGCCGAGAAATACGCAAGAGCTATGGATTCCTCTTGGTACAAACGTGCCGTGGATCAACATTCGATAGAACCGGAAAGTTTTGTTTTCAGCGTGCCCTTTGACGCTGGTACGTATATGCAATACAGACATACAGTATGTATCTATAAAGGGTGTTTGTTTTATCTGGAAATATGCGAATAACTCGAAAACGATGGCTGATGGTTTATGTGAAATATAGAAATTAGTAGTGTTTTGAAAATGTTTCGATGTCGGCTACAAGGATAAAAAAATATAGGTCCCATTTAAGAATATAAACATGAGATTTACAGGGCTTTTCAAGGTCATTGTAAGATAAAATAAATATCAATGCCCTCCTCGGCATTGTGCAACATTTGTTTGAAACATTTTTCCGTATCGGGCATCGTTTTCGAGTTATTCGTGTATTTCCAGATAAAACAAACACGCTGTATATCTTGCCTTTCCTAAAAATCTTGATACGTGATACAATACATAGTTCAATTTTTCTCCGTAACTATTAATACATACAGCCGACAGTCCTACTCCATTGGTCACTGCTACTCATGCGGTTTTTATCGGGAAAGGACATAAAGCACCGGCTGCGGTCGTAGGTTTACAGTTTCAACATTCTTCCCTGGCGTCTCGCTTCGTCAACATCACATCTACGGTAACTTGCGTAAATTTTACTTGCTCCTCCTCTTGTGTCGATTTAATGTCGCAAAAAATCGCTCTGGAATCAAGCTACAGAGAATTGTCGCGATACATGCTTCTTTTATCCTTCTCGAAGTTTCTATTTCTTTTTCATCTTTCAGTGCAGCGGTACAAGCTGCAAGAAAAACTGCGCTTCCGAAGAGTTGGATTGCTACATCTTAGACAATAACGGGTTCATCATTATCAGCGAACGTCACGAACATACTGGAAAGTTCTTTGGCGAGATCGACGGTACTATAATGGATTCTCTGGTTCAGGACAGAATCTATAGGTAAGAACTAAATAGATATTCAAGTGGAACACAGTGAAAAGAAAGCGAGTGAGGACAGTTTTTCGTCGAGTTGAAACGTTTCGTTGTACATTTCAGGAAAGTAACAGTGACCGATTATCAGGGTAAATGTAGCCCGCAAGAGTCCCATCAATCGGCAGCACCGAGAACATTTTCGGAATCAATCGCGACCACAATCGTGATATTGGGAAATTTCCTTTGGAGCATGGCTTTTGGCTTTAATTTTCAGAATTTATGGCAAGTTGCTTTCGCGTTCGCTGGCGAACCCCCCAGACCACTGGATGGTAAGTTCTTTGCTCGCGCGCGCGTGTATACATATAGTACAGGTGCGGCCAGCTACATTTCAGGAAGCTTTGGAAGCCACATTTCAGGAAGGAATATTTGTAAGAGCCATTTATTTATCTTTGATAACAAAAAAACAATGAGAAACTGAAAAATCAGTTCAATTTTTTAAAGTTTACCCACAGATCTTCCTTGAATGAAATAAAATAATTACTTTTCGACATTGATCAGTTTTAGTTTACCATATTTCATACATACATTTTATTTGCATAAGAGCCGCACCACCCGCCTGCAAGAGCCGCATGCGGCTCACGAGCCGCGCTATGGCCACCCCTGTCCATTTATAATACCTACACGTGATTACTTCTGTAAGTATTAGAAATGCGAATAAATGTTTCAGATGAAAGTTGTATGGTATCGAAGGAGACATATTATGATGATAATTGTTTGACCTTGAGATAACATTGGAGAGCCCTATAAAGATCACATTTAAATTTTTAAATGAAACTCTACATTTATTATTGTATATTCTTATAGTTAATATTGAGATGTATTCAAAACACTACCTATACATGTATTTTTCGTAAGCCGTTGTCGAGTTATTAATTTTCCAAGTCTACTTGCCGCCGGCATTAGCGTTGTCAGAAATATATTGTATGTATTCCGAAACTCAGTAACGGTGTAGTGCCGGATATTTAATCAGAAATTAGTAGGAACGTATTTTTTGGACGGAATGTTCAATGGACAAAAATGTTTATAATTTCTTGCAAACATACCTCTATAGTAACTGACATTTTGGACAATATGGAATTAGAAGAAAGAAGAAATATGTGGTTTCAACAAGGCGATACACCGCCACATTACATGTAGCAGTAAACACACATACAAAGTTCGACCGAACAACCTCCTCCCGATGTAAATTGGGTAACGCTAATGCCGGCAGCATGTAAACTTTGAAAGTTTCAAGAGTTTTGTTTGAAACTCAACAACAGCTTATAAAAAATATATGTGTGAGTAGTGTTTTGAAGACGTCTTAATATTAGCTACAAGAGTATACGATAAAAAATGTGGGGTTCTATTTAAAAATTTAAATGTGACCATCACAGAACTATCCAATATTATCTTAAGGTCAAACAATTATCATTGTGATAGGTCCCCCTCGATACCATACAACTTTCATCTGAAATATTTTTTCGCATTTCTGATACTTACAGAAGTAATCACGTGTAGACATATAAACGGACATACTGTATGTCGAATCGCGCGTGACCATTGTGCAATATTGCAAAAGCATAGAAATAGCACAACTCGTTTAAATTACAGACAACTCGATCCTAACTGATACGCTCGGAGAAGCGCACGAGTTCGAATCGTTCGCAACAGGCGGAGAATTGACTGACGAGCCAATACCGGACGAAAATGACGCGTTCCCAAGACTTCCAGCGATCGCTGTTGCAACCCCAGCTTCTTCTACCGGAACAACGCGAGCTACATTCGCAGCTCATTACTCACAGAGACAATTAAGGTCCTGCGAGAAGAAGACGGATCTTTATATTTTGCAGCCTGAAAGGCTCAATACCAGCGGACAAAGTAATCCTTTGAAAGGAAAGTTAACCAATTGTCACGTCACCGGTTGCGAGAGGTACTTATACATAGAGTAACGGTATCGAATATGAGAAATATGCGTAATATGAGATCCCATAGTATTTTCATAAGTAAGTGATGCAATAATGCGGCAATGTTTAGAACTATTAAAATAAATGATAACGTTGTTCGTATGAGATTGCTATTCACGTGGATACGATAGTTTCATTAATACACCATTAAATATGCTTTTTCTCGTCACGAGTGTTTATAGTCACTTACAAAGAAGGTTTGTGTAACATTAAAGGTAAGTTATTTGATTAGCTTCTTTTTTAGCTCCGAGTCTTGGTATTATCAATTAATTCTATTATCGTCTAAATGAAACATTAAAAAACTGTTCTCAGATTAATTTAACTTCTTTTTTTGAACCCAGGATGTTCCTAACACGAGACCCTACCCTAATTATTATAAAAAAATTGGCCGATAAATATTGTAATAGTACAACAATATAGTATACAAACAAATAAATGACAGGAGATTATAAAATATAGATAAAGGGATACGTAACTTCCAAGTCACACGGCATTATAGAGGATTAAACAGGGTCTCATATTAGGAGCACTTTTTTCAAACCATTAATTTTGTACTCCTTTATATTTTTTCTATTTTCATAATAAAGACTAGTATCTACGAAGCTAATATTTTTCTTAAGTATGTATAAATAAATAACGAATGTAGAGGTACAAAAGCTTTTAACTCTTTCTCTTTCTATTATCCGATATTTAATAAAACATAAATGGGGTCTCATATTCGGTACCGTTACTCTATATTGTATGCGTTATCATCCTCTGACATATCATCATCCGTCGGAAACGCGAATACAGCAAATTCAAATTGTCTTTTCTAACAACATCCACCATCAATACAATATACTCACGCATGTAATATTATTACTACATGCGCCTTTCAGATCCGATTTCATCAATATTTTCTATCTTTCTAGGCCGTTCAGTGTACAAAAGATTCGTCACACGAACCTAATTCTGCTAGTGGTCGACACGTTGTGTCCATGCGGGAGCAAACAACTGAGCATCGATCCTATAGAGGCTCTCACGGAGCCCGGAGCTTGTACCGCGAGAAGAGAACGTTTGTATCGCCGTAGGCCTCCGAAATGTATAAATTATCATCCAGAAGAGATGGAGATCAAGTTTTGTGGTAGCGCGAGTCGTCCTTGTCTTCATTTCTCCTTCATGTTGGTTATTGCGATTGCTTTGAGTACTCTCGCGACGACACGGCTCGCGTGACTTTGTTCGAATTGATTCCACACATATCCATATGTATGTGTGTGTGTGTGTATGTGTGTGCGCGCGCACACACACACGCACACACAAAATTACAAATTAACGTTTTTGAAATGAATTTAGCGTTGTCGTTTCTATGAAACAGTTATGAAAATGGTATACTAGTTGATCGGTTCAATACCTCTATATATTTGACAAATACGTGCATACGAGTGAGCGACGAGTGCATACGTATGCGCGTGCATGCGCCGATGCGTGCGTGCGTGCGTGCGTGCGTGCGTGCGTGCGTGTGAGAACCAGAGAGGAATTTATTCGCGCAAACTATATGCATATGCTAGTTTTACGTGTGAACGTCCATTTAGACGCATTCACGTTCATGCCCATGCATTTTATGTGTATGCAATCAATCACATACATGCACACGCTCACGCCTTCGATAGGCACGCGAGCGCATGCACGCAAACTTGTACATATACAGATACATAATATTAATGTTGATCTATGATTACATATCCCATCGTAAATTCTGTTGCGAAAAAATTGTGAATATTTCCTAATCGTACTACGTCAAATCTAAGTCCTAACGTGTAAAACGAAAGCGATCAAAATTACATGTACTCGCGATACGTATTCGAATGGTCGTGGGTAGGTACGACGATACGCGTAAATGTGTAGTATCTTGTAATCCGATTATCGCCGGGGCAAAATGTTGATCATCCTTTACTGTTTATTAGTCCAGTTTATCTAGTCTAACAAAATATACTCTTTATTTATTTGTATTTCGATTGAACCGAATGAAAAATAACAGTCTTCGCATCGTTTTCATACATGTCATGATCGATATATTTTCAATCGTCTAGTCATTTATAATCGTATCACACGTGTACCTATGTGCAGGATACATTACGAGTATGGCCAATTTTTCGTTTAATGCTCCGTGCGCGCGTGTCATTTAGCGTTACAAGTTGTAATCGAAAGCTATCCCAATGCATTCCTAATTCGCGAAAGCACGCGTCACTTTTAAAAATCCTTAAAAAGCTTAAACCGTGAGAAAAGCCTAACAGCAGGTTTACTGCAATTTTCATTACACACGTATACACCATTCTGTACTGCGATCATGTTCTCGTTCGTGAAATGGCCACCACGACACACTTTCATACTTTGCGTCGTTCGCGATTCTCGACGTGTAATTGCCAAAATTGTCCATTTTACTAATTGTTACTTAGATCACGTAGGTACGTACGTAAAACTATGCGTATATACCACTTCGGATGTACGATGTCACGATCGCGCGCGTTACATAGCATTAAACATTTCGTATTTAGCTTCCAAGCGTAACATTAGGCCAACAACAATTCTACTATACGTGCTAATTCAGCTTTTTTCTTTTCTTATTCTTCTCTCTCTCTCTCTCTCTCTCTCTCTCTCTCTCTCTCTCTCTTCTTTCCAATTTCGTACGATTATCGATGGTACGCACGTTATAAAAAATGAACGCGATATCATTCTGCGATTCGAATATCAAATTGCCGTTTATAGCTCTAAGAAGAAGAACAGATGAAACAGATCGATGGAATATTGCATGCAAAGCTTGGAGCAACGAAATACGAATAGAAAGCGAAGTGTCGTAGCACTGTCTTTTTATTGACAATAAGAAATCGTTAAACGTAACATCTTTATTAAGAACTACCAATTTAACATTAACGAAGATGTATTTGTGTACGTATGTAGTAGACAACATGACACTTACATATGTACATATATTTAAATGACGTTACGTTTGGTACGCTTGATGGTGTGTCAAAGGTGAAGGAAGAAACGGAAAGAGGGTTATTTCTGTGTGTGTACACGTTGTCTCTACGGTATGCATATCGTTAAATGTCGCAGTGTGTTTCGTAAAAGTTTAAGATACGTTGCATAGCCCATAACGAAACGCGTTCAATGCGCAATATGAAAGATTAATTAAATTGAATTAAAAATTACAATATTCCATTACTATGCACCTCGCAGTTTGTTTACCTACAATAACTAGTACATCGTTTACAAATTTACGACTAGAGATGTATCGCGCGCTTCGTTTATAGCAGCAACCGCGTCAACTTCGCCATAAGGTTACTCACGAACAAACGAACAAAAGTCAACACAACAATTTTGCGAAAAATGAATTTTACGAACGTTTTAGGTAAGAGGTCGTCTTTTGAACAGCACTTCTAGGTGCTATCATGTCTTCCATTATTTGTATATTGATAATAAAGTCGATTATAAACGTAAAACACGCACCAGTATGCGCACACCAGTGTGTGCATACGCATACGCGTATAGGCGTATACGTATCAAATATCTTTGTAGGTACATGCACGCCTATACGACGAATAGGATATACCGAACACTTAAAATTATGTAACTGAAATACGGCATAATATTATATAATAAAAGTTAAATGCAAGATGACATTTTTTTCGTACCTATTAAAGATTAACACGCACGCACATACATCGCTTGCTCCTTCCGTTATTTTGTCAAACAAATTCATTATTGTTTACCTTAAACCTACATTGACTCTACACTAACCTCACCCCACACTAACTCTACCCTACACTAACCCCACCCCACATCAATCCTACCCCACAGTAACTCCACAGATTTCAAAGAAATGAAGTTGAAGGATGTTCGAATTCTACACTACATACAGAGTGAACCACGTAAAGTGTTATAATCTGTTTTCTCCGAAACTATTGTAGATATCGATTTGAAATTTGGACACGTTAAATGGTTCAAAGGGATTAACATTTTAGAGTATAAGAAGTTATGGAGGTGAATTTCCTAGGGATGGAAAGGGTGCAACACTCAAGTTTTTTAAATAGAATTGTATTGTAAGAAATACGGGACCCGTGGATAGGGTGGACGTAAAATTAATCAAGCCCCGTTAATTTCTTACAAATATGTATAGTTGGGGCCACGATATAGCGAGGTCGTAAATTAAACTCTCAAGAATCGGCACCGATTGATGTTGCGGCACTCAAGGCCGTGTGTTGCAGTCTGTTTGAGGGTTCCAACAATAAACGAATGGTAGCATATGATTTGGTACTTCAAGTAGAAAATGGTATTTCATTTACAAATGGAAAATATGTTAATATTAAGCTACACAATCTTTTTGCACTTTCTATCTGTATATAACACGAGTAGATAAACTAAGATGCTAAAGACATCAATAAGACCTTTACCTGTAACCGTACTTCCAAAAGCGGCTTCCCCCAGAGGGAGAAACCCTAATTTGTCCTAGCTGCATACAGTTTTCAGTAAGTATATTAGAATCAGTTGACTTTCGCTGGATACAAGAATTCTTCGTACGGTCCTGACAATGGTTTCAAGTACTTATCTGCTCGTATCTCTGTCAATTTTCGGGTCCCGGCAGCTAAAACATGTTTACTTTGACGTCTGACCGATTTTACGACCTCGCTATATCGTGGCCCCAACTATACACACTACACTATTTCCAATTTTCTTCTCGACGGATGCTAATCGAATCAGAATTTCATACACTAATACGTACAATTCATCGAATCCTCCACTGATAACGTACACACATTCTATTTTATCGTTAGGATCGAGTGAAACGAAATAAACGGTACAGAAAGTTAACTGGGAGTCCATTAGACTCGTCACTCTCGTGTCGTTTCCAACAGGATTCCGAAGAAAGTGGAACAATCAAGAGGAAAACTCAATTTAGTCGCAACCACAGGATATCAAGCATCCAGATCGACCTTTTTCCCTGCATCTCCAGCGATGTGCTTCCTGTGCACAGCCACTTAAACCTTCTTTCTCGAGTCCCCAATTAACCTTCCTCTCTGTAGGGTGTCCACCACTTTTACGCAACTTTCCCAAACGAATTAGTCGCTTCGATACAATCTCGTCGAGTTTACGTTGTCGAAGGGAAATCCTGTAACTGTATTTTCTATACTTTGCCTTCTCTCTTTTCTTTTTTTTAATTATGTAACTGAAATACGGCATAATATTATATAATAAAAGTTAAATGCAAGATGACATTTTTTTCGTACCTATTAAAGATTAACACGCACGCACATACATCGCTTGCTCCTTCCGTTATTTTGTCAAACAAATTCATTATTGTTTACCTTAAACCTACATTGACTCTACACTAACCTCACCCCACACTAACTCTACCCTACACTAACCCCACCCCACATCAATCCTACCCCACAGTAACTCCACAGATTTCAAAGAAATGAAGTTGAAGGATGTTCGAATTCTACACTACATACAGAGTGAACCACGTAAAGTGTTATAATCTGTTTTCTCCGAAACTATTGTAGATATCGATTTGAAATTTGGACACGTTAAATGGTTCAAAGGGATTAACATTTTAGAGTATAAGAAGTTATGGAGGTGAATTTCCTAGGGATGGAAAGGGTGCAACACTCAAGTTTTTTAAATAGAATTGTATTGTAAGAAATACGGGACCCGTGGATAGGGTGGACGTAAAATTAATCAAGCCCCGTTAATTTCTTACAAATATGTATAGTTGGGGCCACGATATAGCGAGGTCGTAAATTAAACTCTCAAGAATCGGCACCGATTGATGTTGCGGCACTCAAGGCCGTGTGTTGCAGTCTGTTTGAGGGTTCCAACAATAAACGAAGGGTAGCATATGATTTGGTACTTCAAGTAGAAAATGGTATTCCATTTACAAATGGAAAATATGTTAATATTAAAGCTACACAATCCTTTTGCATTTTCTATCTGTATATAACACGAGCAGGTAAATGAAGATGTTAAAGACCTCAATAAGACCTTTACTTGTAACCGTACTTTCAAAAGCGGCTTTTCCCAGAAGAAAAAAACCCTAAATTGTCCTAGCTGAACTCAATTTTCAGCAAATACATTAGAATCAGTTTGGCTTTCTCTGGATACAAGAATTCTTCGTACGGTCCTGACCATGGTTTCAAGTACTTATCTGCTCGTATTTTTGTCAATTTCTGGGTCCC